CTCCGCCATAGTTAATGGCTACCTTCAGCACTGTTATTTGGAAACATTCATAAATGACCGCAGCGGATTGCTATTCGCCTTGTCTGTTGATGTTTCGGGCTGCTTAGCAATACCCAGGTATTATGTTTTGTTCACAGCAGAGGGAAGAAGATGAGTGGAAATCATCCCATTGTCCTCCATATTCTTTCATTACCCAGCTCTGTTCACCATTTTTCGTTTTTTTAACCCGTCTTCTGTTTACTGAGCACGGTGCTTAGGGCTACAAGCACAGACTTGCTTTAATGAGATATATTTTCTTTCGTCATTACTTAGAAACCACATGTAAAGATTGAGTTTAGGCCCCTGTGTATGTAGTGAGGAGCGTCGGGCTCTTAGGGGCTGTTTATGGGTGAATAATCAAAAGCACAGATTAAAGGAGGATCATAAAAGAGAGTTTCACTCAGGTTAAATGGTCTGCTTTGAGCTTAATGTGTGTGTGTGTGTGTGTGCAGACAACGGCTTAGCTAACAGCTATTTTCTGACATCATTGATAAGCTCAAATTTGGTCCTTTTTTTAAATATGACTTAAAGGAGGAATATCTTGGAAATAAGATTTTCTTTGCTCTTTTAAAATAAAAGAGTTCAATCTGCTTTGTAAGCAAATGCTCCACCCAGAGCATTTATGGGAACTAAGCTGCAACAGTTGGTAAATAGGAAAATAGAAATCACAAACATAAGCACATTAACATATGACCACTCTATATATTTACAATATAGGGCTGTCAATAGATACAAAATTTTAAGCATGATTAATTGTGCCGTTTTTGTGCGATTAATCGCACACTTGTCGTGAAATTAAGCATACACCATTTACACTCACCGGCCACTTTATTAGGTACCCCATGCTAGTAACGGGTTGGACCCCCTTTTGCCTTCAGAACTGCCTCAATTCTTCGTGGCATAGATTCAACAAGGTGCTGGAAGCATTCCTCAGGGAGTTTGGTCCATATTGACATGATGGCATCACACAGTTGCCGCAGATTTGTCGGCTGCACATCCATGATGCGAATCTCCCGTTCCACCACATCCCAAAGATGCTCTATTGTGTTGAGATCTGGTGACTGTGGAGGCCATTTTAGTACAGTGAACTCATTGTCATGTTCAAGAAACCAATTTGAAATGATTAGAGCTTTGTGACATGGTGGAAGTAGCCATCAGAGGATGGGTACATGGTGGCCATAAAGGGATGGACATGGTCAGAAACAATGCTCAGGTAGGCCGTGGAATTTAAACGATGCCCAATTGGCACTAAGGGGCCTAAAGTGTGCCAAGAAAACATCCCCCACACCATTACACCACCACCACCAGCCTGCACAGTGGTAACAAGGCATGATGGTTCCATGTTCTCATTCTGTTTACGCCAAATTCTGACTCTAACATCTGAATGTCTCAACAGAAATCGAGACTCATCAGACCAGGCAACATTTTTCCAGTCTTCAACTGTTCAATTTTGGTGAGCTCTTGCAAATTGTAGCCTCTTTTTCCTATTTGTAGTGGAGATGAGTGGTACCCGGTGGAGTCTTCTGCTGTTGTAGCCCATCCGCCTCAAGGTTGTGCGTGTTGTGGCTTCACAAATGCTTTGCTGCATACCTCGGTTGTAACGAGTGGTTATTTCAGTCACTGTTGCCCTTCTATCAGCTCGAACCAGTCTGGCCATTCTCCTCTGACCTCTGGCATCAACAAGGCATTTCCGCCCACAGAACTGCCGCTCACTGGATGTTTTTTCTTTTTCGGACCATTCTCTGTAAACCCTAGAGATGGTTGTGCGTGAAAATCCCAGTAGATTAGCAGTTTCTGAAATACTCAGACCAGCCCTTCTGGCACCAACAATCATGCCACGTTCAAAGTCACTCAAATCAACTTTCTTCCCCATACTGATGCTCGGTTTGAACTGCAGGAGATTGTCTTGACCATGTCTACATGCCTAAATGCACTGAGTTGCCGCCATGTGATTGGCTGCTTAGAAATTAAGTGTTAACGAGCAGTTGGACAGGTGTACCTAATAAAGTGGCCGGTGAGTGTATATTGTTTAACCCGTTCATTTTGTCATCATTTGCTATATCTAGCAAAGTAAACCAGTAGGTGTCTTTCCAAAAAGGACACTTGGAGACTCCAAAAGGACATCAAATAAATAAATGATATAAGGAGTCCATATAATTCGTAAAGTTATGCACAACAAAGCACCCATGAAAAAAAAAAATATTGGGTGATGAATTTTTTTTGGACTAACGTTATAAGTGAAATTATCATTTATTGTGGTTCTGTATAAAAAAAGAAAAAAGCCATTTTATAATGAAAGAAAATAAATCGCACATATATATCTATAATTTTTTTTATTTGCTTTATTTTAGTTTTACCTGCCATTTTTAACACTCTTTCTTGAATTTAAATGAACTTCTTATTTTATTCATACATTTTAGGATGTGAAAATCTTAATGCAAATGCAAATAAGCCCTCATTTGATTCTACTTTTGATTTGATTTAATTTATTCCTTTTAGAGTTGGCAGTGAATGAACAATATCCTGTAAATGAAAAGCACTGGCGTGTGAAGCTTAATCATCAGAGCTCAGAGGGTGTGGCCTATTGCCAAGGCCGTTTCATTGGCTAATAAAAATCCAAAAATTTATGTTGGATTATGGAAGATTGCATTATTATGTTCTTTCCAGCAAAACAATCTAGCGAGAAGAATAACAAAACGAGTTTTAAAGATAAAATGTCTTCAGATATATCTAACCAGCCTCCCTGTGTGGGCCATTAAACTGGCACGGCTTCCATATTCAACATCCATGGGAAACATTTCGCGTCTATGAATATGGGCCTCTGGGATTACAGTGAACAAACACAACCAGAAAGGCAGATGCCAAAATTGCTGTTTAGATATAAGCTAAGAAGAAGTGTTCAGATCGGATGTGAGGCCAAGGTAGAATCAAGGCTTCAGACAAAGTTGTCGACGTCTCCGAGAAATGATAATGACGCAGAAAGGTTGTCCCGTGAGAGCGAGGCCCGTCTGTTTACCGTCGGCTGGGTGGGCCGACTCTAAGCCTGCTTTATACGCCGGTCTTAGGCAATGTTGAATCTTCCCCAGACCATGACAAACACAAGTAATTTGTTTTTTTAAATGACTTCCGATGCAGCCAGGAAGAGCATGTGTTCTTGTCTACGTATAATGGATAATTGTGCTTTCGTGCTTGATTTATAATTGCTGTGTTTGTTCTATCATGCTTGTGTGAATGTAAATACATGCATTCAGCTCGCCATCTCCTAAAATCTTACCGCAAGGGAGTACTAGCCGACACAAAGACTTCAAACATGGTTTACACATACACACTGAATACGTATCTTGCATTTTGGATTAGCCGATCACTTTAATTAGTCGTTAAATTCATATTTTAGCCACATGACATTTACTGACTCTCATGTTGTTTTGAACCATTATCTTTTTCAATCAGAGCTTTGGCTCTCTAAATTATGATTTTAACTCCCCTTTTTGGAGCTTGGAATTATAAATCACTCTACATCTTTGGAAAATATCTGTAAAATATCTAATTTTATATATTCCAAAAGTGAGAATTGGTACAAGTGTTACCATATATATATACCTTCATATTGTCAGTTACATGCTGTCACGTTGTTCACTATTTGTTTTCATTGTTCACTATTTGTTTGCTCATTTTCCTTTCGACCTAATTTTCCCCATGTGTTTTATTAGTTCTTTTCATTCACCTATGCCTTGTTAATCACCTTGTCAATGATCTCGTTTGCTCCTATGTTTGACTGTGCATTTATACCCTCAGTAAGCTTCTGTTCATTGTCTTATGTTAACGTTACCACCTGGAAATGATCGTCGTCTGTTTATTGGATTATCTCGGTTCATTTCTTGATTCTATTAAATATCACTTTACTGATCCTAAAGCCTGATCTTTCTGAACCCACCAGCCAGCAGCTGTGACACATCTACATTTATTCAAGATAATAGATATAGAATAGAAGATAAAGTGTTAGTGCAAGTGACACATATGATTATATTTACTAATATTTGTTAATATGATTGGTTGGATGCATTTTTGTAAATTCAAAAATAGCTATTGTAAATGAATGTGATGTCAGCATCCAAAAAGGTCACTAAGGTCATCGTCAGTGATGATCTCATCTTCAACGCAGACGGCGAGGGTCTTGAGAAGATCATCAGTGTCACATCAGTGTCGTTTCATTGCTGTCATTCTCGCCTTGTCGCTTTCGCTTTCCTAACCCGCCGGAAAGACGGCAGTTTCATCATATCGCATTCAAGAAGACAAATGTCCCGCTGGCAAACATGTCAGCTTTCTTGTTTTCGGCGTCTACTGACTGCAGCAACTTGTTTCTTTAGTTAATTAATTAGTGATGACTGATTTGTGTTCCATTATTTAGCAGTTACTGCCCTTGTGCATTATTTATTTAGATGCAAGAGAAAGTGAGAATGGAGACTATGAGGGATTTGCAGTTTGATTTCAATGTTTAATGAGGACAAACAATGCAAAAAAAAAATAATCTGTTTTAGAGAGAAAAAATTGGATTTTTGATGAGTTTGTACAAGTTTTCCTGTGTGTTTTGACAGGCTGAATGAACTAAATTCACACCCTTTGGGTCTTATTTGTCAAATCAGCATAGATTTATGCATACAACAAACAAACAATACAAAAACAAAAGTTAGTTAAATCATATATAAATATATGAGTATATATGAAATATTTATATACATTTAAATAGGTTATGTGATTATTAAAATATTTAATATAATTGTATTATTTTAATAGTACTTTCTTGTAGTATTTCGAACCTTCGATGCTAGTCTGTTATAGTCGAGGGCTAATTAAGGGTGAGAAATCCAGCTGAGGATCCATTGAGACACTGCTAGTGAATTGTGCTTACACACGGTTCAAGAGTTCCTGGTTTGACCTGGTTTTGTGTTTGTCTGAACCAGCATGTCTCTGCTGAACCACGACTGCCACCCGAACTGTGTCATGATCTTCGAGGGCAAGAGACTCACGCTGCGAGCTGTTAAGGTCATCGGACCCTGTGAGGAGGTACAGGTCCATCCATACACACTCACATACACCTTGTTTCCCGCTCGCCTTGTCCTTTTTTGCTTTTCTTTTTCACGCTTTTTCACTATCATACACCTTATTTCCCGCTCGCCTTGTCCTTTTCTAAATGACCTGGGACATTTAAATGTATGGGGCACAGGAGAAAGGGATATGTATGGGTCTCAGCTGTCACAGGGCCCAAGAAAACATTACCAATATTTCTTTGGGGGGAAAGTTTTTATTTTATTTATTTGTTTTAATTAATTATTTAGTTATTTCGGCAACACTAAATGGAATTGCAAAAATAGTTCCACTCAAAGTTATTGTTATGTGGGTTGTTTTTTTAAATATTATTCTTATTTCTATTTTTATTTTTCATTTGTCCTTTCGATTTAGTTACATTTTTGTACGTTCTCTAATATCAATAGCTTATTTTAATTATAATTAAAATATTGTTATTTATTATTAGCTCATTTTAGTATTTTAATTGTTTAGTAGTTATTTGGTAATTGTCATTTTTATTTTATTTGTTCAAGTCCCCCTTGGGTGAAAATCAAGCTTTTAATGTTGTTTATATGTCTGTGTGGTGTTTTTAATATGTTTTAAGACAAACCATGTGCAAAGTCAACACCATTGCTTAGTATACACTAACCTAAAGGATTATTAGGAACACCACGCTAATACTGTGTTTGACCCCCTTTCGTCTTCAGAACTGCCTTAATTCTACGTGGCATTGATTCAACAAGGTGCTGAAAGCATTCTTTAGAAATGTTGGCCCATATTGATAGGATAGCATCTTGCAGTTGATGGAGATTTGTGGGATGCACATCCAGGGCACGAAGCTCCCGTTCCACCACATCCCAAAGATGCTCTATTGGGTTGAGATCTGGTGACTGTGGGGCCCATTTTAGTACAGTGAACTCATTGTCATGTTCAAGAAACCAATTTGAAATGATCCGAGCTTTGTGACATGGTGCATTATCCTGCTGGAAGTAGCCATCAGAGGATGGGTACATGGTGGCCATAAAGGGATGGATATGGTCAGAAACAATGCTCAGGTAGGCCGTGGCATTTAAACGATGCCCAATTGGCACTAAGGGGCCTAAAGTGTGCCAAGAAATCATCCCCCTCACCATTACACCACCACCACCAGCCTGCACAGTGGTAACAAGGCATGATGGATCCATGTTTTCATTCTGTTTATGCCAAATTCTGACTCTACCATCTGAATGTCTCAACAGAAATCGAGACTCATCAGACCAGGCAACATTTTTCCAGTCTTCAACTGTCCAATTTTGGTGAGCTCTTGCAAATTGTAGCCTCTTTTTCCTATTTGTAGTGGAGATGAGTGGTCCCCGGTGGGGTCTTCTGCTGATGTAGCCCATCCGCCTCAAGGTTGTGCGTGTTGTGGCTTCACAAATGCTTTGCTGCATACCTCGGTTGTAACGAGTGGTTATTTCAGTCAAAGTTGCTCTTCTATCAGCTTGAATCAGTCGGCCCATTCTCCTCTGACCTCTTGCATCAACAAGGCATTTTCGCCCACAGGACTGCCGCATACTGGATGTTTTCCCCTTTTCACACCATTCTTTGTAAACCCTAGAAATGGTTGTGCGTGAAAATCCCAGTAACTGAGCAGATTGTGAAATACTCAGACCGGCCCGTCTGGCACCATGCCACGCTCAAAATTGCTTAAAATCGCCTTTCTTTCCCATTCTGACATTCAGTTTGGAGTTCAGGAGATTGTCTTAACCAGGACCACACCCCTAAATGCATTGAAGCAACTGCCATGTGATTGGTTGATTAGATAATTGCATTAATGAGAAATTGAACAGGTGTTCCTAATAATCCTTTAGGTGAGTGTATAAAACTGCAGTGTACCAAAGACAGTCTCAAAAACACGGTTTGAAATCGCTGGTGTTTCTGAAGTCACAAACTACCTTGTAACCATCAGGTCAACGTGTGATCGTCAGCGAGCGGATCTCTGAGCTGGTGCGAGTGAGTGGAGGCGGGGCTAATTTGCATATTCATAGAACCGCGTATACTAAATGAGGCAAGGGTGTAGAGTTACATTCTAGCTATTTTAAGGAAAAAACATTTAAATATGTAATTTTGGTGATCAAAAGTGAGTTTTAAGGGATAAAATTATTGACTACAGGGGGACTTTAAAATGTATTTTTCCAGTAATGTTCATTTTTATTTTTACTTCAGTTAATAAAAATGTTTTCATTCAGTTTCCCGCCCCGTACTCACTCCATTGACTGAGCCAGAAACTCTCAGATAAACAAAGTAATATTTTCATAGTGTCATGGAGCCACAGTGTTTTACTTTTCAGCCCACAAATAGCAGTTGTCTATTCATTTTAAACCAGGACAGGAGAAAGTATTTTAACTTCCAAAAAAATATACACATCACACCACATTTTCTCAGTTGCAGGCACTTAACGGAGCCCCTGCCAGATTAACTTCACCCTAATGCAGTCGTCCCGTGAATAAATCTAAAAGCAACATCCTACATTTACATTTACTGCATTTAGCAGACACTCTCATCCAGAGCGTCCTGCAGAACTCTTTAACAATCACTCCCGACTAATCAGAGCTCATTTAAACCTATTTACCTGACCGCACACATCCATCACACATCCAGCCAGAATAACTAGTAGAAAGCCGAGATATTCATATACATTAACACCTGAATCTGTGCAGGGATGTGGTATTTCGCATTGGCCCTGTTCGACACGCTCGACAAACTCTCATTATTCGTCCGTTCTGTTTATTTCTGCTCCGAAAGTTTAGATATTCCCAAGTAAATCAGGCAGTCATGCTTAATTTCCCTCTGACAGTGGGAGGAAACGCCGAGGGAGCAAAAGCGAACTGGAATGAAATTACCAGCAAGCTCTCTGTACACAGGAAGTAATGAGAATTCACACTATAGGTGTACGATATGGCAGAATACACAAGTGCTCATCGTCCCACAGACACTGTTTACACACACACAAACACACACGCATTCGCACGGCACGATTATAATTCATACACCCACACACATCTGCACACTGTACACACGGCACTGTTTGCCCATAAGGGTCGTACTCATTTTGGATCGGTTTTTCGTTTTCTCCTCTTCCGGTTTCTGTTGCTTTCTCTATTTACCCATCTTTTCTGTATGTACTCTACTCTTTCTAACGGTCTAGTTTTCTCTCTCTCCGCTTCACTCAATAACTCATTCATTGGAATAACTGTTTTCAATTATCTCCCACTCTCTATATTTGACCTCCCCACGAGAGAGTTTGGAAATGGAAACGCTTTCTGCATACTGTGCAGAATATGCGGTCATGCATACTTTTTATTGTCTTTACTTTTCTTTTCTTTTGTCTTTTTTTTTTTTTTTAGATAACAGGTGAAACAATATGCAGCATGCTACTTTATTGTCACATGACCCTACTACATAACATTGCATATTTAATTTAGTAAGTAGTGTTCAGCTATCATCTTGGAAATAAATATGTGGTTGTTACATATTTCATCAAATTTTAGCGAAAAAGTTATTTTTAAAATTCTAATCAAATGAGTCAAGATGGCGATGTAAAGGTGAAAATCATGGTTGATGTTGCTTCTGATTCATTTGTCATGTTAGACCGATGGGATGATACATTTTTATATATATTGAAAAATATGCAACAAATGGCAGAAATATATTGCTAATATAGATTTACATAAATGCAATGTAACAGAACACAAGACATAGCATAACACAATTTGGTCTGATTTTTTTTTTTCCTGTCTGGGGAAGTGGATGTTCAAGCACATTGCATTGTGGGATACAGTATTCTATGCAGCTTTCTGTGGTTTTATACTGCACATTTTAAGTAAGTGATACACTGTAAAAAAAAATATTATCATGATTTGTCATCACTTTTTTTTGTCACATCAACTTATGTTCATATAACATCATATCTTGAGTTTCTGTTGATTAAAGCAATCTTCTTCATTGTATTGACTCAAATTTATAATTTCAATGAACTCAAAATTGTAAGGCAGCCAGTTACTTACTTTTTTAAGTTAAATTAACAATATTTTTTTTACAGTGTATGACACTTAATAACAATAATAATAAAATTGTTGATGCAATGCAGAATAAATAGAATATCTCTCTTAATGGCTAACACATAAACACAAACAATGCCCATTAAAGCAAAGACACGTTTTCTTTTCATTTACATCCTGCAGAATTGGAAAGTTAAGGCTACAATAAGTGTTTTTCATGTTAGCTCAGCAGGCAGACTTCTCATTATTTAAGGCTAAACTGCCATAAGACATTGGCTCTGTTCCAAACCCTAGTGAGCAGCATCTGTGTCTGCTGTCTACATAGGCAACTTTACTTTCTAAGGCTTAGAAGGTAGTTGCCTAGACAGTAAGGCATCATCCTATAACCCAAATGAAGCCTTGTACCCTTTTTTGTTTGAAACACCCTTCATAGGAAACTCAGTTTTTATTCAGCATAACTCAGCATATTTTTTTATTCTATACTTTTTTTTACCCAATAAAATATATAAATAATTTATTTGAAGCATTATACAATATACTGCGGAGCCTCTAAAGAGACCTTTATTTTTATTTTTGCAAAGGTCCCTTTAGGGGCTGCGTAATATACTGGCATTCAAAAGTTTGGGCTCTGTAAGTTTTTTTTTGTTTTGTTTTCTGATGGAAATTAATACTTTTATTTTGCAAAAATGCATTAAATTGATCAAATTGACAGTTAAGACTTTTAAATTGTTACAATAAAAATTCTGTTTAAAATCTTACTGTTTTTTATATATATATATTAGAATGATTTCGGTTGGATCATGTTACACTGAAGACTGAAGTAATGATGCTAAAAAATTCAGCATTTTATCACAGGAATAAATTACAGTTTCAAATATTTTAAAATAGAAAAGTTATTTAAATTTGTCATAATATTACTGTTTTTACTGTATTATTTATCCAATAAATGACGAATTGGGCAGCATAAGACAATTTTTTTCAACAAAAAAAAATATCGACCACAAACTTTTGTACGGTATGTGGAAATATGACACAAATGTATTTCTAATTCGATTCCATTCATCTTGAATGAACATCTCTTCTGATTTCATTGCAATGCATGAATGCATTTTGGGATTACTACCTGAATATCCATTTTTCATACTCTACATCAAAACAATGCCTAAATTTCCTTATAGCATTTAAAATGACTGATTTTAGTGTTTAGTTACCAGGGTTTTCTAGTTGCCTGAAATCTTTCAACTAACCATCTCTAATCTCTCCCTCTTTTTAGCTAACTATAAGCTACACCGATGTCCTCGCACCTAGCAAAGAGAGACGTTCCCGATTACAGGAGCAGTACCACTTCTTGTGTCAGTGCGCTCGCTGTACCGCTGAGGACAAGGTGAGCCGTGTGAACATCCCCTCAGATCCATCTTCCCTTCCCTGATCTTTCTTATCCACCCTTTATCCTCATTTTTCTATTTCTTTCACTTTCACCCCATCACTCCTGGAAAAGGCTTCTCCCCGCCTCATTGTGTCCTGGCGGGATCACTATCTATCATCCCTGTTCTCCTCCATGTTCTCTTTTCCTCGCTCTTTTGCTCTGTGTCTGTCCCACTCAGCACTCGAAAGCATCTGATGATGTGTCAAGTCTGTCAGACCCGGTCCTAGACCATCACCGGTCTCTCAGCACTGCCCCGGGGAACCTGTCCTCAGCAGGCCCTGTCATCTGTGATCATCACTGCGATGACAGGAGCATGTCAAGAATAAAGCTTCGGATGGCATGCATGAGAGCGGACGAATGAATGCTAAAGATGGAGCGAGGAGAGATGGGAATTTAAAGATGAAATGTGTCATTTTTTGGATGTTAAAGTACCTATTTTCCTCCATACTTAGTACGCACAAACACCAATAAGTAAGCCATTTTGTATGTTGATTCCCAGAAAATTGTAAGCATTCTATTTCTAATCTTCTAATCTATTTTTAATCTTATAAATTTCAGGCATATAAGAAACTCTCTTACCATTGAGGCATCAAATACCTACTTAAGTGCAATGATTATTTAAGACCACTTGAATCATTATATAAAACAGCCCTTAAGATCCATGATAAAAAAGACTTGTCAATATCACCACTGCAAAATAATGACCAAGTATAATATTTTACATTTTGGAAATTTGATAAGGCATTCGAATGTTTGTTTACTTTTTAAAATCATTCATAATGCTGTCGCTTCTCCTCTAAAAAAATGTATTGTGCTCAACTCCGAAAAAAAAAAAGAGCTACTCGGTCGGCCACTAGAGGAGAATGCAAGAATCATTATTACATATTCGAGTCTTTAGCAACCCAGATCTATATCTAATATGGATGGATCTCTACCTATTGTGATAATATAAAACTCTCCTGATATTAGAGTAACAATTACAGCAGAAAAAAAATAAAGCATATTTGTTACCTTTTGGAGCTTTTATACCATCATCACTGTCCCAAGTAAAGTCAGATCGCTGACAGCTTCTTCACCAGATCCACCTTTAAGTGACAGTGACTCTAGTATTTGACTGCGTACAGTACTTGCTCTGAAAAAAAGAGGAATCTAAATTGTGAGATAAAAAACTACTTCTTTTGTTGTTGTTTTATTCTGTGGCGGAAACAAGCTTCCATATTCTGCAGAACACAAAAAAAAAGATATTTAGAAAATGTTTCTTGTCCAATGAGAGTTATTGGGGTCCAATGTTTTTATGGACCCCATTGAATTTCATTGTATGGACAAAAACCTTTTTAAAATATCTTCTTTTGTATTTCACAAAAGAACGAAAGTCATAACAGGTTTGGAATGTGAGGTTGAGTCAATGATTTACATTTTTTGTTGAACTATCCCATCAAATGCATGTGCAAGTGAAAAAAGAAATATGGCAAGCCGTTTCGGCTTTTAATCATTTCTAGGATATGAATTTTTGATTCATCAACAAGTTAAAAGGATAATTCTTGATGTCAGGAATGGAATTTTTACATGTAATAATGGCTATTTTTTATATCAGGAATTACATTTGCTAATTACAAACTGCTAATCTACTGGGATTTTCACGCACAACCATCTCTAGGGTTTACAGAGAATGGTCCGAAAAAGAAAAAACATCCAGTGAGCGGCAGTTCTGTGGGCGGAAATGCCTTGTTGATGCCAGAGGTCAGAGGAGAATGGCCAGACTGGTTCGAGCTGATAGAAGGGCAACAGTGACTGAAATAACCACTCGTTACAACCGAGGTATGCAGCAAAGCATTTGTGAAAACACAACACGCACAACCTTGAGGCGGATGGGCTACAACAGCAGAAGACTCCACCGGGTACCACTCATCTCCACTACAAATAGGAAAAAGAGGCTACAATTTGCAAGAGCTCACCAAAATTGAACAGTTGAAGACTGGAAAAATGTTGCCTGGTCTGATGAGTCTCGATTTCTGTTGAGACATTCAGATGTTAGAGTCAGAATTTGGCGTAAACAGAATGAGAACATGGAACCATCATGCCTTGTTACCACTGTGCAGGCTGGTGGTGGTGGTGTAATGGTGTGGGGGATGTTTTCCTGGCACACTTTAGGCCCCTTAGTGCCAATTGGGCATCGTTTAAATGCCACGGCCTACCTGAGCATTGTTTCTGACCATGTCCATCCCTTTATGGCCACCATGTACCCATCCTCTGATGGCTACTTCCACCATGTCACAAAGCTCTAATCATTTCAAATTGGTTTCTTGAACATGACAATGAGTTCACTGTACTAAAATGGCCTCCACAGTCACCAGATCTCAACCCAATAGAGCATCTTTGGGATGTGGTGGAACGGGAGATTCGCATCATGGATGTGCAGCCGACAAATCTGCGGCAACTGTGTGATGCCATCATGTCAATATGGACCAAACTCCCTGAGGAATGCTTCCAGCACCTTGTTGAATCTATGCCACGAAGAATTGAGGCAGTTCTGAAGGCAAAAGGGGGTCCAACCCGTTACTAGCATGGGGTACCTAATAAAGTGGCCGGTGAGTGTATATTGCAAAATTCAATGCAATATCAGATATCAAGAAAAAAAATGTTTACTATTTGAAATGTAATTTTTTTATATCAAGAATGATATCAATGAGGACATTATTGTTGATGTCAAGAAGGGCTGGGCAATGATTAATCGCGATTAATCGCATCCAAAATAAAAGTTTGTGTTTACATAATATGTGTGTGTAGTGTGTATAATTATTTTGTATATTTAAATACACACACATGCATGTATATATTTAAGAAATATTTGCATGTATATACTTAATGTATATTTATACATAATTAATATTATATATAAATATTTGATATATTAATAACACATTTTTCTTAAATATATATATGCATGTGTGTGTATTTATAAATACAAAATAATTATACACACTACACACACATACACTCACCGGCCACTTTATTAGGTACACCTGTCCAACTGCTCGTTAACACTTAATTTCTAAGCAGCCAATCACATGGCGGCAACTCAGTGCATTTAGGCATGTAGACATGGTCAAGACAATCTCCTGCAGTTCAAACCGAGCATCAGTATGGGGAAGAAAGTTGATTTGAGTGACTTTGAACGTGGCATGATTGTTGGTGCCAGAAGGGCTGGTCTGAGTATTTCAGAAACTGCTAATCTACTGGGATTTTCACGCACAACCATCTCTAGGGTTTACAGAGAATGGTCCGAAAATGAAAAAACATCCAGTGAGCGGCAGTTCTGTGGGCGGAAATGCCTTGTTGATGCCAGAGGTCAGAGGAGAATGGCCAGACTGGTTCGAGCTGATAGAAGGGCAACAGTGACTGAAATAACCACTCGTTACAACCGAGGTATGCAGCAAAGCATTTGTGAAGCCACAACACGCACAACCTTGAGGCGGATGGGCTACAACAGCAGAAGACTCCACCGGGTACCACTCATCTCCACTACAAATAGGAAAAAGAGGCTACAATTTGCAAGAGCTCACCAAAATTGAACAGTTGAAGACTGGAAAAATGTTGCCTGGTCTGATGAGTCTCGATTTCTGTTGAGACATTCAGATGTTAGAGTCAGAATTTGGCGTAAACAGAATGAGAACATGGAACCATCATGCCTTGTTACCACTGTGCAGGCTGGTGGTGGTGGTGTAATGGTGTGGGGGATGTTTTCCTGGCACACTTTAGGCCCCTTAGTGCCAATTGGGCATCGTTTAAATGCCACGGCCTACCTGAGCATTGTTTCTGACCATGTCCATCCCTTTATGGCCACCATGTACCCATCCTCTGATGGCTACTTCCACCATGTCACAAAGCTCTAATCATTTCAAATTGGTTTCTTGAACATGACAATGAGTTCACTGTACTAAAATGGCCTCCACAGTCACCAGATCTCAACCCAATAGAGCATCTTTGGGATGTGGTGGAACGGGAGATTCGCATCATGGATGTGCAGCCGACAAATCTGTGGCAACCGTGTGATGCCATCATGTCAATATGGACCAAACTCCGTGAGGAATGCGTCCAGCACCTTGTTGAATCTATGCCACGAAGAATTGAGGCAGTTCTGAAGGCAAAAGGGGGTCCAACCAGTTACTAGCATGGGGTACCTAATAAAGTGGCCGGTGAGTGTATATTATGTAAACAAACTTTTATTTTGGATGCGATTAATCGTTGCCCAGCCCTAGTTTTCACAAATGAAAATGTAATTCCTAATATCAAAAATAGCTATTGTTACTAGTAAAAATTCCATTCATGATAGCAAGAACGATTATTTTAACTAGTGAAAATTGAATTGTTGATAGCCATTTATATCCTGGGAATGATTAAAAGTCAAAAGGGCTTGCCATAAAGAAACAGAAGTGGTGTTGTGTGTGCTCCAACATGTCAGTGGCGTACACAAGTTCCTTCCAGGCTTATGTTGTGGTTATTTTGCACCTGCATGCCGGCATACCATGCTAAATAACTGTGCTCTGAGCTCAAGAGAAAGAGGCTTTATCCTGCTGTTAACACCTACACAGCTGCTCGGACTGACCTCTGCTTGAGTCATCTGTCAGATACGTGCGGATAAGAATAAACGCTCTTGCTCAGGGCTGCTGAGATGGAGACTTGGGTTTCATCCCTGAATCCAACAGTGGTAGAAACAGTGGAAGCTTTTTAAGCTTGTTTTTCATAAATGTTTTGGATTTTAGGACAACTGATATGTGTGGTACTACAAACTCACATCTATTTGTCCATGCATCGGTTTCTTCTATCCGTCCATCCATTAATCAATCAATCAACCAACCGAATGCAAGTCATTTTTGGATAAAAGGTGAATAGGCCTGAGCCTAGGCACCAGAATATCATAGAGACTGAGTATTATGGAAATATTCATTTAATAAATT